ATATATTATATATTATATATTATATATTATATATTATATATTATATATTATATATTATATATTATATTACATATTATATATTATTTATTATAATTATATTTTATAGAAAATTTATATTATATATTCTATTATATAATTCAATTTTACTCGAAATTTTGTCTTTCGTCGAAGAAAGCTGTTGAAGTTATGCTAAAACGCTTTAGAGCAACACGGCTTTTGGAATAGAGGTCACGGTTTCGAACGCATACTTTATATGCACCTGTACACGTGTATGTTCTGCTTTCGACTACCCTTGAGAATTTTGAAATTTTATCGTACGTAAAATAATCACATGTGCACCTGTTTAATTATTCATTGGTTGGAATTATTCACACGATTGAATATCAAACACGGAAAAATACACGGATTATTGATACACGTGTACACGTATACTGGAGTACACATGTACTGAAATACACGGATTTTGATACACGTATACACATGTATCAGAGCCCGCGTGTACACGCGTGTTAAAAATGACACCGATCGAAACACATGAACATTAATTACACATGTACAGGTGAAAACGAGATACACGTGAAATACAAATCACACTGATCACTATAAATCACTAAGTTCGGAAGCTCGAAAGCAATGGTCCCAAAGTTCCGAAAAGTTTGAACAACCGCGCCGAGAAACAGGATGCGCTACAATATCGAAAAACCCTGGATAATTTCACTTAGCTGATGCGAGGCTGAAATGATCGCAGGAACGGCACGAGATTGGTTTCGAAAACGTTAGATGACCGAGCTAGAGTGCGAGAGCTGGGTCCTCGGTAAGATGGCGGCCGGATGGCCCTAATTCCCGAGTATCCGAGCAACGGTAGCCTGGCGAAGGAAGCGAGCAGCCGCGGGATCGCGAAAAAAGGAAGAGGAAAGCCTGATTCCCGCGAGGCAGCGTCGCGGAACCGTTAGTTAGATCGAGCCGGCGAAGGGAATTCGCGACAATGCGAAGCAGCGTTGAGCACATGCCGGGTCAATGGCTACGTCGGATGCCCGACATTTGACATCCAGGGTCGCGGTCAAAATTTCATGGCGAACGAAGACCGTCGGTCTGGGTAACGTCTGTCTTTTTCACTGTCGCGAGCAAACTGGCGGCCCGGAAAAAGGTGGGAGTAACGGCCGGTCCGGTCGCGGTCGGCCGCTTTCCAGCCGATTTCTGACAGCGAGGCGCGTCTGCACGAGGCAGTCTTCGCCGGTGTCTTGGCCACGCTGGATCATCCTCCACTGTCGGCGTGCAACAACCTGTTTTCCTGCGCTCTCTTCCGCCCAGGTGTTCACTCTTCCTCTCCTCCTCCTGCCACAGGCGTCCTGGTCCTGCTCGATCCGGAGAATTCCCTCGCGCTCGAAACCGTGGAATGACATCCTTGGATCGTGCCAGCGGGATTTCCTGAGAACGCGACGGATCGCCGCGGCCTACGCGAGGTCGAACCAACCGGGAACTACTACCTATCAGCTGGCCGAGGACCGTTCAGTGCCATTATCGTCCGCGCTCGCTCTGGGAATCACAGCGAGACTCGCTCGACAAGATTTTAGAGGGCTTTCCCCGATACAGGTACAGAGTTGTTGCTTTTCGCAGGTGTTAAGAAACATGGCCAGATAGTTTTGGGGTATTAACATCAGTGAGGGTTGCTAGCGGCCTTGGAAGGCTTCGCAGAGGTCAAGGTTGAGGGTATTGTCCTTGCGAACAAGGAAGTGACGGTCTCGCGAGGAAGTTGGGAAATTGACGATTTAATCGGGCTCTGCTGGATTTTGTTGTTTCATATCGAAGTTCAGTAATTTCTCCCGGAGATGCAAAATGTCGGGTTGCTGTGAATTTTCCTGTGCTAGTCCGACGCCTATGTAGTTTATTGCTACGTCGATACTAAGGATCGACGGAGTCGGTCAAGCGTGTGATGCCGCACGCGACGCGAATTCCCGAAAGACAACAGAAATTTGTCTGTTTGGGTGCGAGTCAGGTTAAAAAACCGCGGAGCTACAGGGTATAGTGATTTCTCCCAAATTCGCGCACAGATTGCGCACAGAAATGGACAATTTGGGGAGAGTAGATACGATTATTCTATATATATATTATTATAGTTGTTGAAAATTGGCAACTATACAAATGAGCCACAAGGCTCGAATAATCGTATCTCCTCTTCCGAAATTGTCCATTTTTTGTGCGTAATCTGAGCGCGAATCAGGGAGAAATTATTGTAGTAAGTACGTGATCTTCGAATCGTGGCACGTGGCCTCTGAATTGCCTTCGAATAAAAAAATGTGGCAAAAAATTAGGAAAAAAATTAGAAAAAGAAATGTTAAGTCGTCGTTTTTATTTTAGCATTTCACATTTACATATTTACATACTCACATATTTACATATTTACACCAGCAGACTGGCCGCTGCCCTTTTTTGCCGACTGCCCCGAGTTTCCACGAAAACGAGCCGCGAGATTCCAAGAATTGCGACTTAGTATTCTCAGATCTGCCTGTCCCAATTCTCCGAACAATTCTGGGAGAAATTATTGTACTCAGCAGTTTTAGGAGACTGACCGTATATCTTTCTGCGCGTGAATGATTGAAAACCTTTCGGCTGGTCATCGTTCTTCCGCTATAAAACACGAAACGCGCTCGTCGAGGTGTTAATTCACTTTTGTCGTACAAGGCCAACCGGAATTCGTCGGAGCTAATTAATGCATCACGGATAGCATCACATCCGGATAGCATAATTTTNGAATAATCGTATCTCCTCTTCCGAAATTGTCCATTTTTTGTGCGTAATCTGAGCGCGAATCAGGGAGAAATTATTGTAGTAAGTACGTGATCTTCGAATCGTGGCACGTGGCCTCTGAATTGCCTTCGAATAAAAAAATGTGGCAAAAAATTAGGAAAAAAATTAGAAAAAGAAATGTTAAGTCGTCGTTTTTATTTTAGCATTTCACATTTACATATTTACATACTCACATATTTACATATTTACACCAGCAGACTGGCCGCTGCCCTTTTTTGCCGACTGCCCCGAGTTTCCACGAAAACGAGCCGCGAGATTCCAAGAATTGCGACTTAGTATTCTCAGATCTGCCTGTCCCAATTCTCCGAACAATTCTGGGAGAAATTATTGTACTCAGCAGTTTTAGGAGACTGACCGTATATCTTTCTGCGCGTGAATGATTGAAAACCTTTCGGCTGGTCATCGTTCTTCCGCTATAAAACACGAAACGCGCTCGTCGAGGTGTTAATTCACTTTTGTCGTACAAGGCCAACCGGAATTCGTCGGAGCTAATTAATGCATCACGGATAGCATCACATCCGGATAGCATAATTTTACCTTCTTGATCTTTTAATCCTTTTTTTTTTCTTTAATTTTCTAAGATTACATCAACCCTCAGGGTCATTTGAAACCGCGATTCGATGTACTTGATTTGAAGATTTAAGTTTGATTTAGTATATGTGTGTGTGTGTGTGTGTGTGTCGACATGTTTTAATTTATCTTCAATTTTTGTTCGTCTCTAAACGCGTTCGCTTATAAATTACTTTAAGGAAACAGATAAAGAATACGTGTAAACAATTTTGTTCTTCAGTTGAGTGAGTTCTGGTTCATCTCGCAGAATGTGTTCGGATAAAGGAGTTTATACGGCAACATCCTACTGAAGTACATTCGAGCTTCCAGTCAATGAAATTTCTGGAGCGTGTAATATTCATACTTCCACACTTTTTCCTCTTAGCAATTTTAATGAACGAAAACCGCTGTGTACCTATTTTGAAACGATTTCGTTTCGTTCGTTTATTTTTTTTTCGAAACGTACGCAGTCAGCGGAATAGTAATTATCAATAGAAACACATTCGTGTGCAATAATATTGTTTATAGTAAACGCCTGTAGATTAAATAATTTATGTAAGAGGTCGACCAATCATGAACTTACATAATCGATTAATTGAATGAATGGCAACGATACCAGTTTTCACAAAGTATGCAAGAATCTAATTAAATATTCTGTGTTAATTGTGTAACAAAATGTTACAAGTCATAATTCATCGAGCTTCCTCGCAGCTTCAAATTGAAAAGGCTGTGGAAGCGTTGAAAAATTTTTTTTCATAAATGAACTTACTATGAATTTAAAGAATGAAGCTTCCTCTTTACAACGACTTCGGAAAACCTAAGATACGATTTCTCTTAGTCATTTTATCGAACTTGGAACGAAACTATTCATAATAATATAAGGCACACTATGAGAATTTTATACCTCCAAATTTATTCCTCATTTTTTGTTCATAAAATCGCCGAAAAAAATCGCAGATCAATTTTTAAGAACGTGGTGTAAAGAGCAGACCTTGATCTATAATTCTACTCTAGTTTTGGCTAAGAGAGAAATTTTTCTACGATTCTACAGCCATTTGAATTTGTAACATTTGTACCTTCCTCGAGAAAGAACGCATCTTCAATTTTCCTCCTTTAGCATTATAAAAAATAAACATGGTGCAAAATGAGCATATTAGAACGAATGTACAGACTCTACGCTTTGAAAGAAGCTCAGGTTCATCATCGTACGATTTCCTAACGCGAAGTTTCAAGCATTCGAAAGATAAGAATCTTTCGAAAATCGAAATTCGATCGATCGGCTGGTTCTTGACGCTTCTACAGTTTCCTTGGGACTTCGAGGTCCCGGTCGAGGTTGGAGCAGCCCCGTTAATCGAACTTCCGTCGATTATTCCTACTTCGACTCGCAGTTCCCTCCGAGGCACGTTTCACCCGAACTTCGCGACCGTTGCGCGAACTTCGCGACCCGTGGCCGACGAAACTACTCTCGAATGGGCTCCCTAACGACGCGGAATCATTGTGACCGGATCGATCGAAAGTTTCACCGGTGGAACGCGCCTGCATCCATAATTTTCCTAAATGATAGTTCCTGGCCGTGCAATTCCCTTCCGCGATCGCGTTATAAAACCGACGGGACGAGTACGAATTCGGTGTCGTGTTAGAGGAAAAATCGCGGTCGGTGACGCAATGATCGCGGATAGAAATGAAAACGGAGTGAACGAACTTTCACCAACGTGCGAGGATTCTTTCTCGCCGCGCTCCAGGCTTTTGTGATCGTTGCGAACGTTAGATCGGAAGCTCCGGGAAGCTTATCGCGCGATAAAACTGCTCGAGAGACAAAGCGCTGATAAGCTGCACGCTTCTTTGCGCGCTCATTGTTGCAGGAAACGCGAATTAAATTAACTGGATCAAGGTCTTAACGCTGACCCAACCGAGCCGGTCAAAATGGCCGATTTCACGTTCCCTGTATTCAGATCGTTGACGTTATAAAGACTCTTTCGTGCGAAATGATTGAATAAATTTCTCGAGCGGAATACAAATTATAGAAGATTTAAATAAGTTCAGTCTCATCGTTCATGCAGAGTGATACACGTCCGTCACCTTTAATGCGCGGTAGTTTTAGTGTTAATTAACAACCAGACCGGTTTATTTGCAATTGTTTTTTCTTCGATTCTCGCCCGATGGCGTATTCGCCCCAAGGCAATCTAAGCAGCAATTTAAATAACAAACAGCAGGAAATGCAACAATGGTCACTTTTCATGTAGCTGGCTATGTCAAGCATTCCTGACGATCTTATCGCGTTTTTGTTAAACATGTTTCGATAGGATCGTTGAATCAGCGCCGATAAACTCGCCGCAAATAGATTCCCGATAGGCGAAAACCGTGAAATCGCGAGTAAATTGAATCGTTCGATTATCCGAGGGGGCGGTACGACATTCTCAGCCGGTGCAAAAGTCTCGATTTTGTCAATTAATGGCGACCAGACGTAGAAATCATGCATGCAGATAAGAGTCACGCGCGGTTGAATTAAACGACGCTGTTTAATTGTCTTATCGGTCTGTGAGTTATTTGATTAGAATCGGCGTACGTGTACCAGTGTCAGTGTATTTCGCACGCGATTGCACTTTGATCGACTCGTTTTCCTACTCGTTGATCGAAAGATCGCCGAAGCAATCGGGGCGATCGCCGAAGCAACGATCGGCCGATTCTTTCGAGTCACCCGGTATCGGTGATAAATCTTAGACAATAAACCGGTCGAGTCACAGAATTCCCGGCGAGCTTCCTCGCGGCATTTTTGGTCTCTGCGTCAGCCATCGCCGATCAACGACGTCTGTGTCGAAAACTTGGATATCTCAAGATTTCGAAAACAGTGTCTGCACGATTGTTCTGCGCGGTTTTGGGAGTTTCTAATGGCTATCTGATGAGTCGTGTTTCGTTCGACGGACGAAACCGTGGGATGGCAAGCATGATTAACATCCAATGCGTGTTGACATCTGGCACCGTAATTTACTAACTGTTCTATTATCCAAACATTTATGTTGCTCCCTTTGGCCCGGATAATCGAGGCTCTATTGTCTCGTGATAAATTCTTGCAGCGACACTAACACCACAATCTTCGACACGCACACGCACAAATTCGTCACCGTATTTAGACACATTTTCCTGCACTGCACAGATGTTCCGTTTATGTTCGGCGTACGGGAGATGCACATTTTTGCGAACATCGTTCTCGTTTTCACTCGGTCCGATTAAAAATTGCCATCGGAGGCGGCAGTTGATCAAGCAATCAGAGTTGCAAGCATGTTCGGAGCCCAGTTTAAACACGGTGCCATTTATTCCGCTGAAAATTGCCACTGAAACGACAACGGACGATGTCACGCAGAGTGTCGAAATCGATTAAAAATATTGATCGACTTCTTTTGAAATAGATTCTATAGCCAAGCACGCATTGTCACGCAGAACGAGACGTTTCGTCTTTAAATAGACTGCGTGCGGTGTATAAGATCGGATCTGTTCTATGATCGGATGTTTAACTTGGCAAATCGCAGTACGCATCGATCTTCCATTGCTAATTTCTCGTCGCGAGACAGTTGACTATTTTCTTTTAGCCCGAGCGGCTTAGTTGCGTTCGATTCAAATTCTTCCCGACTTCAAGCTTCCGGTGTTCGTTTAGTCAATCAAAACTCCATTGTCTAAGTTTTCTACTTCCATTAATTTCTGATCAGAAGACAATCTATACGATATCTAAATTTTCTGCTTGAAAGTCTTGCAACAGACAAATTACAGTAATTTCTCCTTAATTGACGCTCAGATTGTGCCCAAAAATCGACAATTTGGGAAGAGGAGATTCGATTTTTAGACTCGTTTTTATAATTGTTGACAATCGATAACTATAAAAACGAGCCGAAAGGCTCGAATGATCGTATCTCCTCTTCCCAAATTATCCATTTTTTCGTACAATCTGAGCGTCAATTAGGGAGAATTTACTGCATTCCGAAACGAGATCCACGTAAATCGATAACTTCTATTAATTTCTAAATATACAAGAACAGTTTAATCAGCGAACAATTTATGCGATATCGAAATTTGCAGCCTGAAATTCTTGCATTGTTTCATTCCGTAACAAAGTCCACGTAAGTCGATAATCGAACCAGCACAGACAACGTCTGTCAATAATGCAATCTCGAAAGTCCAAAAGTCCGGAAATGCCTGAGGCTCTGCAACTGTCGCCCGAGAAAAACTCTGGTCACCCGTTATACTCGTAGTCACGTGCATGAAACCAGCACCAAAAATTAACCGTGCCGTGCAAAATTTCGGGCATAATCGAATCGCGCCGGTGGAAACAAAATGGCGTCTGCTCGAGGACGCGACTTCCCGAGCAGTCGTTTAACCTTTGAACCCTTGTGTACACGGTCAGGTGGGACACAGGCACACGCGAGAGGTTCACTGAACATAACACCACAATACCAAACAGGCATACATCGACCACAACAACAACCACCACAACAGCAACAGACAAGACACACAGGCGAGACGCGAAGTGTCAAGTCACCGCACAACGGGCGCCACACAATTAAAACACAGGGAACACTCGGGAGGATTGTTCGTTCAGGATAGTTGGCAGCCGTTCCGTGAGACCGGAAGTTCACCATGTATGTCCGACAGATCTCGTTGAGACAGGGGGGAGCGCGGGATAGCGACGCGACGGCAATGTCGCGGCAGCGGGACCAAGATGGCGTCGTCGGCGTTAGGGACCCGCCCTCCTTCAAGGTCGACGACTTCGTCCTCGAGGCGGACTTCCAGGACGGCGACGAGTTCTACAGGGAGAAGGCCGAGAAGGAGCTCAGGGAGACGCCCGAAGTCGTGCAGCAGGCCCTCAAGGACATCAGGGTGTTGCTCCAAGGTAATTACGTGGCGATCCTTCGCCTTCTTCGTTTTATTTTGAACGATCGCTCTCTCGATTCTGCAATCGTTTACACTCGCGGACGAGCTCGAGGCAGCTGGTCGTCTTAACTGGGTCAAGTGGATCGAAAAGGCTGTGCTTTTAGCTCCCTTTTCTTTCACAGCTCCCTTTTCTGGCAATCTACCAGGTTTATTAAGACCGGTCCTGTTTTTTTTTAACCCCTTGCATTACGATTTCTTTCGCAACCGCGTTGATTGGCACTTCTTTCCGTCTTTCGAAAGTCTTGAAGTTATAAAGATGTAGGAAATGATTGAACGAATATCTTGACTCAAGCGTACATTATAATAGAAATGGCGGGGAGTCTAAATAAAATCAGTCTTGTCGTTCTTACGAAGCAAAATATGACACTCGTTCATAGAGCTCGGTATGTTTATTCTTAACGTTCCGACGGCGAGGTTGCGGTCCATTTGGACCCAGGGTATAAAATATTGTTACAGGAGTATCTAACAATCTAACAATCGATTGAAATTTTCACATATTTCATTAGTGGACAGCAGGTCGTTATGCTAAATAGAACTAATTTGCATCAATTGTACATAACAGGAGTGAAATAATAATGTAATATATTTTTAATTAAAGTAAATAATAAATAAAGTAATGTATTTTCTTTTTTTAGGATATTTGAAGTAACTTTTTCCTTTGCGAAAATGCAATCCGCGGCTTTGTTTACGAGTTATTAACGAAAATCAGTGACCAATGAGAGACGTGCTCGACAGCTCGAGATTCACACCTTTCTGGGTGTATCATAATTATAGGCGATTAATTATTAACGTAATTTTTGACACAATTATAGGACACCCTGTAGATAAATTATCGTGTCTAGGAGGAGTATCTTGAAATATAAATTCATAAAAATAGACAATAAATAAAGCGACAAATGATTCTAAGATCCGCCAGAAATTCCGTCCTTTGAGCGTTAATAGTTTTCTGATAGAACGAGACAATTACTTTCATTCCTATATTTTGATGACAAAAAAATCTCTCTCAATTAACAAGAAATGATTAGCATTCATATTTAATGAATTATCTGTGTAATCGTAATCTTTTAGCAGCCCTTTGCAGCTTCGTCTGCTTTGCAACTATCCGACGACTTTTACAACATTTACATGTTTGCAATGTCTATAATTTTGTCGCAAACGATTTCTTTTCAGTGTCTACAATCATGCAAGAGCGAAACATGGTAGAAGAAATCGAAAAATTTTGAAATGAGATTGATAGAACGTTTATCGAGATGGATTGTCTTTATATAATCTGTAGACAATGCGATCGGATATCGCTTAAGTTATCAAAGTTCGTTTACAGATTCAGATAGGGATCGATAAAAGTGTTCTGATGTAATCTGGATTCTCTTTTTTAATCCAGTATCGCGGGTACAGTTCGCCGAAGAACCTGCTCAATGAAAAGGAAAGTTCCGCATGGTCGTCGGCAGACCTTTTCTTGAAACCGAGAGTTGACAGCCTCACGATGGTCAGCNAAAATATGACACTCGTTCATAGAGCTCGGTATGTTTATTCTTAACGTTCCGACGGCGAGGTTGCGGTCCATTTGGACCCAGGGTATAAAATATTGTTACAGGAGTATCTAACAATCTAACAATCGATTGAAATTTTCACATATTTCATTAGTGGACAGCAGGTCGTTATGCTAAATAGAACTAATTTGCATCAATTGTACATAACAGGAGTGAAATAATAATGTAATATATTTTTAATTAAAGTAAATAATAAATAAAGTAATGTATTTTCTTTTTTTAGGATATTTGAAGTAACTTTTTCCTTTGCGAAAATGCAATCCGCGGCTTTGTTTACGAGTTATTAACGAAAATCAGTGACCAATGAGAGACGTGCTCGACAGCTCGAGATTCACACCTTTCTGGGTGTATCATAATTATAGGCGATTAATTATTAACGTAATTTTTGACACAATTATAGGACACCCTGTAGATAAATTATCGTGTCTAGGAGGAGTATCTTGAAATATAAATTCATAAAAATAGACAATAAATAAAGCGACAAATGATTCTAAGATCCGCCAGAAATTCCGTCCTTTGAGCGTTAATAGTTTTCTGATAGAACGAGACAATTACTTTCATTCCTATATTTTGATGACAAAAAAATCTCTCTCAATTAACAAGAAATGATTAGCATTCATATTTAATGAATTATCTGTGTAATCGTAATCTTTTAGCAGCCCTTTGCAGCTTCGTCTGCTTTGCAACTATCCGACGACTTTTACAACATTTACATGTTTGCAATGTCTATAATTTTGTCGCAAACGATTTCTTTTCAGTGTCTACAATCATGCAAGAGCGAAACATGGTAGAAGAAATCGAAAAATTTTGAAATGAGATTGATAGAACGTTTATCGAGATGGATTGTCTTTATATAATCTGTAGACAATGCGATCGGATATCGCTTAAGTTATCAAAGTTCGTTTACAGATTCAGATAGGGATCGATAAAAGTGTTCTGATGTAATCTGGATTCTCTTTTTTAATCCAGTATCGCGGGTACAGTTCGCCGAAGAACCTGCTCAATGAAAAGGAAAGTTCCGCATGGTCGTCGGCAGACCTTTTCTTGAAACCGAGAGTTGACAGCCTCACGATGGTCAGCTCGGGAACGATTTATGTACTTTCTACCGTAGAGAGATCATTTAGGATCGCGGGGAAGGGAAACAAATCGATGATAAATGTCGGGACCCCGAACAATTGGATGCTGTCCTCTTGGAAAATCTTGCTTTTGTAGGACGTAAATTTCTAGGAGAGCGTTTTACTGCCGTCACAACCATCTTCGCTTCGTCGACAGCAATTTACCGAAACTATTAATCAAATTATTAATTAAACTATCCATGCTACAATTAGAACCTCGATTAACCGTGCTGGATTTTCCTCGATCTTTATTATTTTAGATTTTTGATTATTCCAAGTAGATATAATAACGATAAAACCATAAAATAACCTCGATCTATCATCTTATCCTATTATATAAATAATTAATCTTCGAATGTCGGGCGCCGGGTCCATTTGGTCCCAGAGTTGCGAACACTCCATCTAAATTCTAATTTTGTGGCAGTCATACGTAATTACTAACTAATTAATATTGAAACTAATAAAAAGGATTAACTTTGGTCTGAACAAAGAGGTTTTAATAATGTACAAATGAAAATTAATAGTAAAGATTTGAATGGATCTAGTCGTGGTTGTCATAAATGCTCAAAAATGTCCGCCGTCCAAAGGTTAATCGAAAATAAAAAGGTTTGGACTATCAATTTTGAATACGGACAATCGAAGTTCTACTGTATTTCGAAGACTTTAAAACTTTAAGACTTTAAGACTTTAAGACTTTAAGAGCCAGAAAACTGTAAGCTGAACAGTGCATGGATGTGGCTCGTGTAACAGGCTGAAAATAATAATCTTCGCAAAGCCGGTAGTGATTTGCGGCGGATTTATGGTCGTACGCCGTTCAATTACTATGCTCCTCTACACTATGCTTCCTACACGATAGGAAGAACACCGAGCAAAGATGGCCTCTGACCTTCGTTATTTCGTTTCCAGGCGAGCCGAACCTTGTGGTACCGGACGACGACGAGTTTTTCCAGAAATTCATGCGTCCTTGCAAATGGTACCCGAAGAGCACCTACGAACTGGTAAGTCCTCGGGACAGTCCCTAGAATCAGTGAAATGAAAGTGAAAAAATTGATCGATTTCTTGGCTTCGTTAGTTGAAGAGATTCTACAAGTACAGGGTGAACAATCCTCGCTATTGTAACAATTTGACACCCAACAACGAAAAGAAAGTTTTGTCCTCGGAAATATTAATCCCCTTGCCGGAGCGCACGACTCAGGGATGCAGGGTGCTGCTGATCAATGCTGGAAAGAAGTGGAATCCTAAACAGATCAGCATCGATGAGATCTTTCGGGGAGTTATGCTGTCGCTGGACGCGGCCATGGCGGAACCCAAGACACAGGTCTGTAGAAATTCAAGACGAAAAAGTCGATGAAATGTTATTCTGATTATTGAAATTGCTCACTCTTAAGCGTGGTAAGAATTCTGCGCACTAATTGCAAGATATGCGTTATTTTAACGAATAGAAAGTAATGCAATTACATTTAATCAGACTTTGCAGAAGGATATAAATCGTTTTTCTTTTTCATAAAAGAAATATCAACACGAATTTCAATTATAGTTGAATATCTTCGCTATATAATTCCGAAGCGTGACATTTGAAAATGATTAAAGTAGTATTCAAACTGCATATAAAGAGACAAAATAATTAGCTCTTTTTGCCACGCATATGGGGTAAATAGGTCACGCTATGGGATAATGAGAACCTGTAACAAAAACAGAATATAAAATTAGAAATTGTACGAATCAACTGAACTGTTTATATAACATGTTCAACAGTTCGCGGATAAGAACAACGCTTTGAAACACTTTTACGTAGTTATGTCTAATTATATTTTCTGGGGTTAACAAACTTTGGTTAAGAAACGTCGAAGTATAAGGTTATGCGACTCTCAGTTTGCTTTGAACAACATATTCATCATTAATCGATTAATTCAATCATTTCTCAACCATGGTACATTATTATTAATAAAATATATATAATATTTTATTAAATATATAATTATCGATGTAATTATCATTGCATCGATGAACAAATTTACTATATAACTTTATACCACATCAATTTTAATTTTATAAATAAATGTTCAACAAAGTTCTCTTTGACCCAAAGCTCGCTATGCTGCGGTCCTCCCTTACTGATTTTTCTGTTGCATCAGATCCGCAATCTTGTTGATCGGTTGACCCTCGAATGGCAAAAGTGTCATTTCGTCCAAGCTCGAAAACGTTTCGTCGAATTTCCAATTTTCTATTAGCCAACGCTGCTAATCTGTTATTTCCACACAATGTCCAAGATGATTTGTTTTACACGCAAATTGTGTGTAGAATCTGTTGACTCCGAAGCACGGATTCTATAAAAAAAAAGTTCGCTTGATTAGCACTCCGAGCGTCAAGATCGAAGTTCGCAAATAATGCTGCAGGATAGATATACCTCTTGTTAAGCTAATAACCGTGCGCGCTGCACTTTGTCCTCAAACTGTGCGAAGTCATCGGTGTTTGTATTCGCGGTCTCATCATGGCAGCGTTTCGCACACCGATTTGGTCGTTCGGTTTGCGTTGCACGCTTCGTCCGCAGTTGCTATTCCGGTTTTCTGTTTTTGGAAACTTATATCCGGTTTTTGTTGTTTTAGATCGCCGGTGTTCACGTGATTATGAACATGGAGGGCTTCGCGCTGAGCCAAGTAACTTACATCACGCCGAGTTTCGCGGCGTCGTTGACGGAGTGGGTGCAAAGATGTCTGCCGTGTCGCCTAAAGGGCATCCACATAGTGAACCAGCCTTTCATATTCAACATGGTCTACGCCATTTTCAAACCTTTCCTTCTAGTAAGTCTACCCGACGCTTCTCTTCGTCGAACAACGAAACGAACTACTTCACTTGTCGCCAGATGTCTGTCTCGGCCATATTCTTAGCAACTTTTCATACAATTTTCAGCTTTGTTATTAAGCGACGAATCGTATTATATTCGACGATATTGTAACAACAAAATGTCGAATAAAATTCGATTGCAGTAGTTAGAATTAAACTTAATGAAACAGCACTTTCACAATGGACCAATCTTTCTTTATTGTTCTATTGCGAAAGAAACGCCTAATTTTTAATACTTTAAATTCCGTCAAATGGCGTTATTTTCGATGAATCGTTTTTTTCTTTATTTTATCACAAAAAGCAAGTGTCAGTCGCTTTTCATTGCTCTATATTTTCTTCTCTCGGTCGGACCGCGTACGCAGGACGCGGCGAAAGTGTTGATCCGAATACGCTAATTAGTTCGCGTAATTGTTCCGCGAGCGTCGTTCCGGTTTATTCGCGAAACGAAACGACTCTGTGCTGTTCACGATCCGAATATCTTGCAGGAGAAAACGAGGAAGAGGATTCATTTCCACGGGACGGATTGGAAGTCGTTGACCTCGTACTTGAGTGCCAAAGCTCTGCCCACCGGCCTCGGCGGTGAACTGGTCCTGCCGAAAGTGCCATTAGGCGAAGGTATCTGCGAGTACTTCTGCTGGTTCGAGAAGGAATTCGAAGGTAAACCACGGCATTGGGTTTTCATGACAGCCGCCGAAAATTGTAACAATTAAGCTCGACTCGAATCTCTCCTCTATTGTCCATCGAAGCAACAGCTGAACTATCCTCCACGTATTTTTTCTCGCTTCTGTTCCTCAAACATTAATCTTTTTTAACACTGATCTTCGAACAATAATAACATGCAACTAACTGTATCTATGTGGAAACCGATGGGCAAACATAACCAACATGGTGAACAGCTGTTATATTTTGTATTCTTTTTATGGAATGTTTATTTTGTATCTTTTTTTATGGAACGTTTATTTTGTACTTGTTTTGTGGAACGTTTATTTTGTACTTTTTTTCTTATGGAACGTTTAGTTTGTACTTGTTTTGTAGAACGTTTATTTTGTACTTTTTTTCTTATGGAATGTTTATTTTGTACTTGTTTTGTGGAACGTTTATTTTGTACTCGTTTTGTGCAACGAGTACAAATCCTTACTTCTTTTTATTGTTATTCTTTCCTGTATCAACCATTTAACAAATATAATATCCTCTTCCCGCTTTACTAAACGAAATAAAGTTTCTCGTACATGGATCACCGATGTTTAACACCACACAACCTGTACCGAAATGCACACAATAATTAGCATTACCTTCGAGAAAGCTTTCTGACCAGCCGACGATTATTTTTCTAATCGAAGTCGATCTCACGCGTTGCTAAATACTCTTTCGCAAACGACCACGATTCTGCGGATCTTCATAATATTGAAAGAATTCGATTGAATGAAAGTCTTCGGACTCTGTTTCCAATTTACAAAATTTCCAATATTTAAACGTAAATTGTCCGGGTGTTTCGGAAAGATCCAAGGGCATCTCTGGCAGACTCTGATCACGGCGAAAGAGTTCATTTAACCCTCTCCCGCCGAGCGTGCAATGGCGGACGTCGCGTTCCAGGAAATTATGACAGCACGGGACAAGTCGCGGGACTGGCATTAGCCTGTCATTACGCAATCGTGTATAATTTTTCGCGATGATCCTACGAAACGCAAGTTCGAATTTTCTGCCCGATGACAAATGCCTTGCAAATGACGGAATCGGTCGCCGTCGAATATGCCGTCTTGGTATTATTCGTCAGCTAACACTCCGCCCACCAAAATAGCCTAAATTCTTCCATAAATGAATTCGATCATCGAATTAATTGAATCGTTAAAAAATCACTCGTCTAATTCTGCTGTACAGTCATTTTTTCACCGCTGTGCAGTTATCGAACAAATTTATTAAAAAGATGCTGAGATATGCGTTGTACAGCGCAATTAACGATAACAAATAACGATTCGAAGTATTCGATCCACAGGAAGCGGCCATCTTGTCGACTCACGCCACGAATGATTTTTTTTTTAAATTCGAAGCTGTTTTGAATTGTCTTTTCATTAAAATTGTGATTTCAATACGTTTCAGCCTCCAACAGGAATGGATATCGTTCTGCGACGACGCGATAAGAGTTCGCTCCTGAGATAGAGCATGCGGTAATCAGGATGGTCACGTGATCCGTGATTCCATCTTTTCGGCAGGAAGAAGTGGGAAACGAGGCAGATCATCCCTACACGATTAGAATTAAGAAAAGAACATATGGAAAACTACTTTAACTTAATTTAAGATTCGTTGTTAAGTCAGAACAGGAAGAAATAAGACGCGTTCGCTGTCACCGGCTTCTAAAAATGTCCCAGAAACGATTAAACGATTTTCAACAGATCTAGAACGTCACTGAAAATTCGTTACCGTAGAAAATTCCACATGCGATGGGGAATTTCTGTAAAGGATATTGTTGCTCGTGACAGTGAAGGCGTTGGCGATGGTGCCTGTAATATGTTTTACGACAAAAGTCACGAAGATTCCATTAAATGTGCTATTTCGCGAAGCGACATCGACAAACGTCCGAAGAACAGGATCCCGAGGTTGTTACGCGTGAAATAAAAGACGGTGTTTTGCAAATAACTTGTAGACCAATTCTCAATTGTTTTTAATCAACATTCCAGTGTATACACAGCGACCGGCACGCGGTATGAAATCGATGTTGTCCCGGACAACGTGGTCATATTACCATGGTCGACAGGAATCGGATGAAAAAATCATCCGCGACACGCCAGCAACGAACGTACAATTACCGTAGTCGATTGCCGTTGTCACACTAATTAAGCACTATGTCCAGCGCGCGAATCGTTTCCGGGAACATAAATTTTGCACTTCGTCGACGAAATCATTTTTCCATCCATTCGAAATCGTTTCGTCGAGCTGTACAATCCTCGCATCGTTTCAAATTTCTGATTTTCGCCGCCAATGCGCGAAATCTTTGCAATAACAATCGGGATATCGTATCTGTCATATATTTTGCGAAAAAAATACAAAGTCAAAATACTAAAAACTTTTTATAATACATACAAAGATTCACAGCGTGGCACTAATCGATCAGGAGACAAGTGGAATTCCGTCGTTTATGTTTTTTTTCGATTTCGTGCGCCCGTTTGTCTCGACGATTCGGTCGAATTTATTGAAACAATAGCTAACTCTACGGTATCCCTACGATTCTCGTAATAATACAATGCTAACGATAACTTTAGCTGCGACGGCCTAGCCTACCTGTTGCTTCTTCGGCATTCATTCTCTCGTAAGAAAAGTGAAAAAAGAAAACACACGTAATTTGTCACGGATAGACGGAGAGATGGTGGGGACAAGGGATTGGGAAGGGCGACGGAAGCAACGATCCAAATCTTGTTCTTTTTTTTATAAATAATGCAGACGAGTCGACGGAATGGAATCCACGGACGTCGTTGTTGCTCAGGAATCGCCTCGAACCAATCGAAACATCGAGTCCCGATCCTGTCGGAGGCTATTGTTCCTCTTCACCCCTTCTCGCGGGGACGTTTAATACTATTTACAAGCTATTTCCCGTTTACGTAACCATAAGAGTTGATCGCTGCAAAAGAAACAAAGCTTCAGAACGCGGAATAATGCAATTTTAGTTTAGTAATAAAGCAATTTTAGTTCGCTATTTTACTGCCAGGCTAGTGGGACCAGTTACTGTCGAGTGATCAATTGCTGTGCTCTTCGTTCGTTTTTGGACACAATTGACTTTCTATTTATCAAAGAAGACATATTCAATTTCTGTATTCGTTTTATTCTATTTCTCTATTCTATTTTGTTTATTTCGTTTATTTTTGAATGACAATAATCGAATATGTTTTCTTCGCTAAAAAGAGAGTCAATTATACGCGAAAACGAAACAACGGCACAGTAATTGGTCACTCCATAGTAATCGGCTTCAAATCAGCTACTTCAATTGGTAGTTCCTTCTTTTTATCTTATTTTTAGGGATTAATGCTGCAACATTTTCGAAATTTTTTAGTCAGCTTTCCTAAGCTGCAAGTGTCTACGAACCCAGAAGTTGTAAATTATTTGACTTTTTTGTGGTGTAATATTAGACACAATTATTTACCGTTTCTGAAGGCGTAGACAAAATTATTTATTGCTTCTGGAAGCGTTGGAGTTCGTATCGACGTTATTGTGAATTAAGCGAAGATCGTGGTTCGTTGAAAAACTCGAGAAATAAATAGCAATGCGCTTAGCTAATTTTGTCGACTCTAAGCTCGGTCCGCGAATATTATGCAAGATATTATTTAGCGTTGCTTAGGTCTCCAAGATCACTATCGAGCTGCATTTTTTAATTTACTTAAATCGCTGTCTCTATAAAGCTGGCTTTCTCAGCATCTGCTCATTGAACTTTCTGTTTCGATGATGATGTCAAGCTCGCATTAATCATTATCGAAGTGAACTGACTAGTCATCACAAATCCTGCTATCTCGTCGAACTACCGGAAGACTGCGATTGTAGTAATTTCCAGTAATTTCTTCACTCGTAAGCCAAAATCGACAACAATTCTTCGCGACGCATAGATAAATAAATAAAAGAAACAAACAAGAACACAGTCCACGTGATTAGAACATTGCTCGTACGTACCATCGTACTCTTTATCACATATCAGCAGCAGTTCGAGCCACTGTGGCCCAGTGACACGTGGTATCTGCAGAGTGCCGCCATAGCAATCGGGCAAGCATTTAGGCGACAGGTATTGGTGCAACGATTTGCGATCTGTGCCGTGGAAAATGATCTGAAAAGTAGACAAAATCGAATGAGACGAAATTAAATTAATCCGAATTAAACGAATCCGAATACAATAAATACTCTCAAATTGTCCCTCAGCTTGTAAACAAAAATGGACAATCGTATCCCCTCTTCCCAAATTGTTCATTGTTTGCTGAGGCTTGATTCGAGAAAATTTACTGTAGCTTCCAACGAAATAACGATTCGAAATCACGCGGAGAAAAAGATCATCATCAGAAAAAGATCATCACAAAAATGGACAATCGTATCCCCTCTTCCCAAATCGTTCATTGTTTGCTGAGGGTTATTTCGAGGAAATTTACTGTAGCTTCCAACGAAATAACGATTCGAAATCACGCGGTGAAAAAGATCATTGACTGACGCACCCTGTTCTTCAGTTTCTCCTTGAGGAACGGCTTGAACAACGCGAACACCATGTTGAACACGTAAGGCTGGTTGATGATGTGAATGTTCTTCACCCGAAGGGGCACAGCTTCCTGCAGCCAGTCCAATATCCTCTTTGCGAACGGAGGATTGAACTGCCAAGTCTGCTGAAGCGTCAGACCGTCCATATCGAAGATCACCACGGCTCCTGCGATTTGTGTAGTCGGCTCCAACATGGCCGCCTCTACGTACAGGACGCATCCCTTGAACACCTCGTCCAAGCTGCACTTGTTGTGCTTCCATTTCTTTCCAAGCTCGATGATCAATATCCGTCTGCCGTGCTGGTCGCGGTTCGGCAACACGGTTAGGATATTGTGATCGAAGATATTCTTCTCCCGGCTGGGCTTCAGACCCTTGTAGACGTTCTCGTGCTTCACCTTGAAGCTGTAGTAGTTCTGCACCAGCTTCAGCGCCGATTCCGGATAGTATTTGCAGGGCCTGAGGAATCGGATCAGCCACGAGTCGTTGTCCAGCGGCACCTTCAGCTTTGTCTCGGCTGTGAAATTTTCGCGATTTTCATCGAGGTCGATCGAAAATACCAATTTATTGTTTTTGACGTCAATTGAACTTTCTCAGCTGTTCTCCGATTAAATGTCCGAACCTTCCGCGCCTGTTTTCAATTCAACGGCTGAACTTCCCAAGTCGATGTTCGATTAAACGTTTGAATTGTCCACGTCTATATTCAATTCAACGTCCGAATTTTCCGAGACGATTTTAGATTGAACGTCCGAATTTTCCAAGTCGACTTTCAATCGAACGGCTGAATTTTTCGTGTCGATTTTTAATCAGATGCTAAATCTCTTGCAAACTGAAAGATTCTAGATCTCGAGGATTCTTAACACCAGGTTTACGGTACCCGTGAAAATGACCGCTAATTTTTTAATTTACGATCGTGTAGATACGGTTTTAATGAAATTGTTAAATTTCGATTGCAAAGATACACTTGTGATTTATTTACCCAATGTATCTGTTATTACTCGCGGCAAATATTACAATGATACTCGTTAAAAATTCGAAAAAACATCTTGTCGTTACTTTTATAAACTAATAAAAAAAAACAGTTGCTTTCAGTGCGCCGTAAATCTAGCGTAACCTACCATGCTGATCATTTTGACTAGTTTCACATTTTTTATTTTGAGATTCTTCACACTATAAAGATTCTTTTATAGAAAATGGTTGACTAGATTTCTTAATTCAAACGTACATTTTAATAAAAATGGCGAAAAGTCTAATACAATGTAGTTTTGACATCTTTATGGAACAATACACGTCGGTCACTTTTAGTGCTCGATACATCTACTATTAAAAAAATCTTGAACCGTGCAATCCTATATTTGAGAAATAACAATAAATAGCCCTAGGAAATTAATATTTTGCTGACTTGGCAGATCGATTTTTAACGAATATTCTAAACGCTAATATTCCGCAGGAAAAATCGTCTCGCCCAAATGCTCACCTTTCAGCAGTTCCCGGAGCTTCTCGATAGACTCCTTTTGCAGTTCCGGCGACTCTCGAAGCTCCCTCTTGGCGACTTCCTGCAGCTCCGGTCCAGGTGGCATTAGCTCGAGCTCCAGCGTGAATTCGCCTAGCTTCAGGCTGGGCATCTTGTCGAGGACGGTCAACATTGTGCCTGCGAAAGCAAACGAAGCCGTTTCAGCATCGATCTACTCCGACAAACCGACGGTTTCATAGAAAATCAATCTGTGCTCCGAAAATAAGGAGAGAACGTTCGAAGCACTTACGCCTATCGTTGTCGTCAAACTCTTTGAATACTAGTTGAATCATGTTTATGCATTAACCAGAGCACAGCAGAAGCAATAAACGAGTCAGAAGGACTTTGGTGTACCGTATACAAGAGACGAGCAATGTTTGGAAACAGTCGTGGCGGGAAAGGAATTTATGAAGCAACGGAGTCAGGCATATATCGCGGCTCTTCTACCGACAGCCGTATCCTGACGCCGCAGATTTCTCGCAACGATGCAAAAACGTTATGCTATAGCACCACATGCAGCACCTCCTCCGAACGCGTGTTTATCACATTCTTATCGAAATTAGAATTTTTATGAGACAAGGTTTCTCGTGGTTTCCGATGGTTCGATGATCATTCCAGAATGAATATTATTTATTGGACCGAGATTAGAACTTGTGGGTCACTCAGGCAAGGTCGATGCGCGGTCACAGAGACGGCATGCACTATTCCCATGCAATTGTTTCAAGGATCTTCACCACAAAGTCGTATGGGATGAGAATCGTCGACAGGGTTCGATCAGTTTGATGCTGGCGTTAATTATTGCACGTTATATGTATACACCAAGGTTATTATGATATCCCGGGGATGATTCGTTTCGGCGATCAAACAATCGGTTGATTAATTATCACTTTGTCACACTAACTGAAGCGTTCCATCTTTGCTGTAATACACTTAATGCTACTGTCGTCTATCGTTTACGATTGTTCTGGAACTTCCAGCCGTCAATCGATCCTCGAAACCATCCACGCGGACACTAACGGCGGAACATTCGGCTAGCCAACATTCTAATTGGAGAATCGGCACTGGTTGAGTAATCAGTCGGTGACACGCCAATGAAGCACGTTAGCAATTCTGTCATGACGATGACGCACAGAACGAACTTCTCTTTTTAAAAATATGTATCTGCTCGATTTTTACCGCGCACACGAGCCTCGTGTCACCTATCCGCGATTCGGCACACTTCACTGACTCCGATCGCGGTCGATTTACTGTCGCGCCGCGAACCAATCACGAACGAGAGATCGTTCGAAATTTGATTAGCTACTTTTCTGGAACATCTACGAGCGGAAATTCAATCTTTCGACGTTGAAGAACGATCGACGATTACGCTATATTTAAGCTGCAAAATTCGGTCGAGCTTTCTTCAGGGTTTTCTGAAGAGCCGAGATTATATATTGTAACTTTTTTGTTAAATGTTTCCGCATATACGCGATAAGATAAGAATTCTTTAGAATTCACCACACGGCGATCACGATGATTTTCTGTAATTAGTGTAGGAAAAATTGTGGAAGGTCAGTTTCGTTTTGCATTTTATTTTATATTTATCGATTACGGGAAACGATTGTACAGTCGTCTTTAATTCACATTCGTTTCTCCTGTTATTCTCCAACGGCGTGTTTATATAAAATTAAACTCTGTCAATCGTTGTCATTTTTAGTTATCGTTTCCGATACGTATTGTCTAAAATAGTCGAGTGCTCGCGATAAAGTACTATGAATTATTCACGACTCGATTGCCGATTTTACATTTCAATAATATCCGAGGGCAAAATTGTTTAGTCATGTTCGCGTTGTTATCATGTTTTGTCAATAACGTGCGGACATTTATTTAAATTCTCAAGTTCGGAAGTATGAATTATTCATAGTCCGATCCTTCCGAAGAATATTTTCAGGAAATTATACGAGGAATTTCGTTGTCGAACCGCCTTAAGGAAAAATTGTACGAGATCGCTATGTCGTTGTACCGTATTTTAGGCGAAACGCGTTCGTTTCTTTTTCATGAACAACAAAACGGGGAGACTTCGCGCGTTAATTAACCATTGTTCTTACGGCGACTACTTCGGGCCGTACTAATTTTCGCGCCGTAATAACGTTCAATTACGAACAACGAACCAGAGAATATTCACACGTGAATTATCAATTTCTCTTGCAATAATGCCTTCGAGATGGCTCGCAAACGTGATACTTATCTACTTTTGGACTCCGCGCCGGGCTATTTAATTCCGTCGGAAATTATTCTGCGGAAAATTGCGGGAAGTCCGATTTCGGTTTTGAAAGGGCAGAACGAAAGATCGAAGGGGGAAATTCGAGTGGCGCGAATCGAAATCGAGATTCCGTTCCCGTTTCGGACGAGGAATGAGGACGCGGCTGCCGCTCGGAAAGCCGAAACCGAACTGCGTGTCATCGAGTGCCGTCGCGTTATCGGTTCCCCGGTGGCACGTATACGAGTGCGACGCTTATTTCGTAAGTGATGACTGGCGATGTTTTGCTGATCGGTGGTCAGCAATTAAAGCAAGGGATCGCGAGTGAAAGAACGATAGTTATCCGGTAACTTAATAATTATTTATAAGCGGCTCGGCGAACATTCGGACAGCGTATCGATCGATAATTAATAGTTCGAGACTGTCGCGACTATCGCGGATCCTTCAAGGATCCTTGTGAACCGTCAGAAAAAACTGCAAGGAAGCTGTCAATCATTTCGCGAATCAATTTACAAAAACTGGAGCGGATAGCATTCCGTTTGCATATTCGACGTATCGCTTCGTCGCTCGTACAGCGATCGATTTTGTTAGAAAATGCGACTGAAATGAAAACGAATAGTTTTGCAAGTAGAAGGTTATTCTGTTTGATTTATTATCGTTTATTTGTAGGTTTATTTGTATTTGGTAGGACCATTCCCGTACGAATTTTCGATTTTAATGCGAGCGAGATAAACGTTGAAATTTGTTATTTAATTTGTTATTTGATATTTTTGTGTATCTACGTGTATTTTACGCATTTTATGTATCTACGTGTATTTCGTGTATCTATGTATCTTTTGTGTATCGTGATATTTTCTATATTCTGGTGTTTCTGTTACGTTTCGTTTGTTGCTTGATAAATTCGCGAGCGACGTAAACGCACGGAATCGCGCGGAATAATAACGACGTTAGCGCAGGCGGCTCAGTTTTCAGTGAGAAGTCACGGTCTCGCGAAAATTTCAATCTGTCTGGCTGGGAAAGAGACCACGCAGAAGGTAATACGGTCCAATTAAACTCTCGCGCGTTTAGAAACGACCGGGCTCTGCGTTCTCGTTTGAAAAACGAGGGAAAAATCTGCCGGCCCCCGAAATCCAATTGAATCCAATCGGATATATTGCGCCCGACACCGCGCCCCAGAATCGCACCTGCAGCGAAGATTAAATTCAGGAGGCGACAAAATGGCGTACGGCACGAAGAAATTGCCGCAATTAACCTACTCGGCTGTAAATGAAAAATTACCACGCGATAACGTTGTTAATCTACATCTCTCTGCCGCACCAAAATATACTACACCAATTTTAATAATTTTAATATTATAATAATACTATATTCGATCTTTATTTTTATGATTTCATCTCTGCTCTTGCTGCATCATAATAATCTTGACGTTGCTGCCAAAAAATATCTTGTTCCACTATTTTACAGGCTCTTCCGATGTCATTTTCACACAAATTTTGTCTCTGCTACATCGATCGAAAATATTTGATGATACCGTAAGGAACAAAAGTCTCCACGCATCTTTTAATACGGTAAAAGTTTTTTAAAAGTGGTCGAAACGACTTGAATTTTTTTTGTAAATGTTAGAGGAACTATTTCACGGTACACAATGATAATACTTTGTTTTAAAGCATTGGAATGGAAGAAATGCGACGAAACGAGAGTTATTTGACATCTTTTTTATTCCAAGTAAAAGCAAAATTAAAAGCGAAATATTTCTGTCGTTGTACAATGCACTAGTACCTTCAACATTTACAAAATAATATTCAAGTTATCAAGAACAGTTTTGAAAAAAGTAATACCATTTTAAAAGGTGTGTGGACACTTTTGCTCCTCGCTGTACTACGACTCCGACATTGTAACGAAACTGCGGATCTTCCTGCAATAGAAAAATTCTCTGCGTTAATTGCAAGGAGAAAGTTCTGACTTTCAACAATAAATTTATACGAAATAAAGAAAATCATCGCCGGCTCTCCAGAAAATTCGATCGAGAAACGTTCCGAAAGATTCCGTACGACGAACAACAGAAAGATTGGTTCCAGAAAATTTGTACACCACGAATGTTCGATTTATCTGGTCACTGGAACCTTTTTGATTAAGGTCCGAAGGGATCGAAGCGGTTCGGGAAGGATCACGAGAAGAAAGATCGCGCGCGAAGATCACGGTTTTCCGCGGCAAGCACTGATCGAGATTCAATCGCGATTCGAATCGCAATTAAACGAGGCCCGTTCGGCTCGAAGGAGGCTCCTCGCGATCCGAACAATCACTGTACTCGCGTGGCACGCTGAATTCGCACGCGAAAATCCACCGTTCACCGTAATGGCGGCCGGGGAACGAGGGGATTCACAACGCGAAATAATTCCGACGCTGCGAGCAGCGGCAGGCCTCGTGGCCTCCTCCTGTGTTTCTTTTTCCTTTTCTTAGTCTTTTTCTTCTTGCGCTGCCGGCGGACTCGCGATCTAGCCTGGCAATTACGTTTTTCAATGGCTCGGCTGCAGCTGGAGCGTGGAAGCGCTCTCTCGCCGAAGAAAGCCGCGCACGGTTGCAACGTACGCGTGCCATGCTCTGCATTTGTTCATCCTGGATCGATGCGTTTAGCCTCGATTCGCAGAAAATGCGACGTCCTCCAAAAATCTCGCTGGACAAAATTGGATTCGAGAAGAGATTTCTAAAAATTGTGCACCATTATATATTTAAAATATTACTTTTTAAGAATCGATTGTGCGGTACACTTTTCACCATTTCTTCGAGATAATCCTTATCAAGGTGTTTTTAGGAATATCGGTGTTCCTAGAAACATGATATAAAATTCGCAATATTCACGGTACTTTGCAACGTCGGTCAAGGATGAACGAAGTTGCCTAATTATAGCCGAAAAATTGACGAACTCTTAGGACTTGTTTAAACACCGCGAATCCTAGCGAAGTACAATGAATTTCTAGCTGACGGGCCGAAGAGAATCGAAACAAGCGAACAGAACTATTCCATAAAAATGTAAGTGGTTCCGTTGCATTACCAGGATGAAACGATGCCGTCGTACAATAATAATAATAATAATAATAATTCTCGACGTATATTACCGCGGACGGGGCATTGTTTGCGTTAATAACGAGAGTACTAGGCACACTGTCTAGCAGACTGCCATCACGCTAACGAGGAGGAAATCGAAGTGGCGTTGGAAACAACTTTGCACACCTCGCAAGCAGAACATCGTCTTGCTCGCAAGCACTTCGGGCACACTCGAATGCGACGAAGAAAATAGAAAAACTGCGCGTGCTATTTAAACGATTAATCACTTTGGAAACGAATACATAGGCGGCGTTGTTAGGAGAATGTTATCCAGGAACTGTTCCCGCGACAGTTTTATCGTCGATAAATCTCCGTCGAGAAGCTGCGTCGGACAATCTGAATG